GGCTATTAAAATCAAAAGGAGGAAAGAATCATTTGACTTTTGTTCTGTGGTACTGAGCTCAAACCAACACCTTGTGCATAGTAGGCAGGTGCTCCATTGGTGAGGTGCATCCCCAGTTCTCACTTGAGTTTTTGAAGGCCCAATTTTTCAGTAGGAAAATGACATCAGAAGATATCATCAGGTCAGTAAGAAGCCTCAGCAGATAAAGGTACTTGCTGCTCAAGTCTATGACCTGAGTGCTCCTCAGAACTCATGGAGAACCTACTCCCAAAGTTGGTTTCTGATCTAATGCCCACACACTGTGGGATGCATGCAGCTGAGTATGCACCAAGTACAAACATGCACACAATAATAAAAACAAAAAGTAAAGCCACACCCGTGTACATAAGGGCAATATTAATTAGATTTAGTGGGTTATCAAAAAAAAAATATGAGGTTGAAGAGGAACGTTTGAAGAGATAGGATATGATCATACTTGGAGGTAGATATGATTCTATTTCATTGTACACATGCAAAAAATTCTCAAAAATAAAGCAAAATTTTTACAAATTTTGTTTCTATGGGTTTATATTAATGACTTAAGATAATAGAGATGAAAAATATTCTAATTCCTGCCAACCATGGTGGTACACAGCTTTAATCCCGGCACTGGAGTGGCAGAGGCAAGCAAATCTCTATGAGATCAAGGCCAGCCTGGATTACATAGCCAATCCCAGGCCAGCTGGAGCTACAGGGAGACACTATCTCAAAAAACAAACAAAATATCCCCCTTCCTGATTCTGTTCCACATATTACCCTCTTTTTAGTAGAAAAAGGTAAGAACTACTCAAATTTTTCTCTGTAAATACAAATAATCAGGGCTGGAGAGATTTTGGGCAAAGAACTTGCTGCACAAGGCTGACAACCCAAGTTCAATCTCTGGACCAACATGAAGGTGAGAGGAGAGAGAGTGAACTCCAAAGTTGTCCTCTGACATTCATACACACAGATGCGCTCTCACGCTCACACTCACACACACACTCATTAAATTTTTTTAATGTAAAGAATCATTTTATCACTCAACAAATACTTAAAGGATAGGAGGAAAGCAATATAACAAGAATAATATCTTTCAGTATGACATCATTCATATCATTCAGTATGACATATTTTCTCATTTAATCCTCACAACAAAGTTTTTAAATAGATACTATCCTTTTTATAGAGAGGAAGTAGTCTTAGGTAAAATGACTCACCCGGTCTCAAACAGTGCTTAGTGGAGCCAAGACAACTTCAGGATCCTTGAGCTCACATGCTATAATTTTGTATCTCCACTTTCACCACTGTACCCAAGATTCAATAATTTCCTTTAACCCTGGCTCTGTTTCATTCAAAGCACTTTTTCCTCTCCCTTCTTCCCCCCTTCTCTCCCTTTACTCCTCCCTCTTTCCTACTTTTTCTTTGTTTCTGTTTTTTTTTCTGAGACAGGGTCTTACTATGTAGCCCAGGCAGGCCTTGAATTGGTTGGTGGCAATCCTCTTGCCCTGGCCTCTCCCAAGTGCTAGGATCATAAGTATATACCACCATGCCCTGAAAAAGTATTTCCTACTTATAAATATTCCTGAGCTAATTCCACTGATTTCTGTGTAGAATGTTCCTTATTAAAAACTGTACGGGGGTGGCTGGAGAGATGGCTCAGCGGTTAAGAACACTGATTGTTCTTACAGAAGACCCGGGTTCAGATCCCAGCACCCACATGGCAGCTAACAACTGTCGGTAACTCCAGTCCCAGGGAATCCAACAGCCTCTTCTGACCCCTGCAGGGACTGCACAACACGGGTGCACTTACCTACATGCAGGCAATACACACAGACACATAAAATAAAAATAATAAAAATATTTTTTAAAAAACTGTACAGGGAGCTAGTGGTGGTACACACCTTTAATCTCAGCACTTGGGAGGCAGAAGCAGGTGAGTTCAAGGCCAACCTGGTCTACATAGCAAGTTCCAGGCCAGTTGGGCCTACAGGGAGACCTGTTTCAAAAAGAGCAAAAAAAACCAATAACAGCACTTGCTTTTCTTGCAAAAGACCCAGGTTCAGTTCCCAAGAACCAACAACCATCCTTAACTCCAGCTCTAGGGCATCCAATGCCCTCTTCTGGCTTCCATGGGCACTATATGACACAGATATGCTTATATACATGCCCACAAAACACTCATACACATAAAAATAAAATTAAAAAAAAAAATACAGAGATGAACATGGCGGTACACATCTAAAATCCCAGCACTCAGGAGGATGAGGCAGAAACATGAGTTTGAGGTCAGCCTAGGCTATAAGGCAAGATTCTATCTCAAAAAAGAAACAAAAAAACTTCTATAGATCAGTTGGGCAAATTTGTAGGTAGATTATTTTTTCCCTAATAAAATTACTTTTTAGATACTTACTACTTTTAGAGTTAGCAAAATAAGTCCCATATCTTTGCTTAGAAATGAGAAAAAGTTCAAAGTCTGAGTTCTCTAGGATCATGAAAGGTGTCAAGTTCAGACATAGGATGAAGCTACTCATTCACACAACTCCAACTAGTTTAATTCTTTTCCATTTTGTGAATGCTTACAAAAACAAGAGTTTTTTAATGTACTGTACATTTACACCAAATGAAAAACCCAAAGAAATCAGTAGCACTCACATTACTTTCTGGATCTGATAATATGGCAGATGCCAAGGCTGCAATTTGAATTTTCTTTTCCTGTAGTTTCTTCCTTCTTTCAATCAAATGTTCCTCCATGGTGAGCTCCTGGATGGGAGTTTCAGTGATATCTGAAACAAATCAGGTTTTCACTCTTAAATATTGCTTTATTTACAAATACTTAAAAAACAGCAATTTTCACATATAATAAATATTAATGATAGCTGAGAATTTTGTATTTATTACTGTATCATTCAATAATCATACAAAATAGGTACTATCAATATACCAATTTTGTAGGTATGAAAACTGAGGCAAAAGGAAAATAACTTACTAACTTCAATTTCATCAACGTAACAGAAATGGGACTTAGGCCTATAACGCTATACATAAACCCACAATAATTTATATTAACTAAAAAATAGTTTTAGTTACTAACTTCAATTTCATCAACGTAACAGAAATGGGACTTAGGCCTATAACGTTATACATAAACCCACAATAATTTATATTAACTAAAAAATAGTTTCAGGTTTAATATATACCTAAGTGGGGCTGGAGAAATGGCTCAGCAGTTAAGAGCACTGATTCCTCTTGCAGAGGACCTGGGTTCAATTCCCAGAACCCACATGGCAGTTACAAACCATCCTTAACTCTAGTTCCAGGGGAATCCAAAGCCCTCTTCAGACCTCCGTGGCACTGCATGACAGGGGTGCACTCACATACATGCAGACAACACACTCATACACATAAAATAAAAATAATAAATAAAAATATAAGTATAATATGTAATGAGTCTATAGTAAATGACTGAAACCAGTCAAATACAACAGTTGAATGCCGGGCGTGGTGGCACAAGCCTTTAATCCCAGCACGTGGGAGAAGCAGGTGGCTCTCTGTGAGTTCAAGGTCAGCCTGCTCTACATAGTGAATTCAGGCCAGCTGTGGCTACAGGGAAACCCTGTCTCAAAAAGAACAACAACAAAAAAACACCAGCTGAGCTATAATCTCATATTCATTATTAGTGAGGTCTGCTAAGTGAAAGTAAATTTAACTAGCTTGTTTCATCACAAATTCTAAACTAACAAGTTTCAAACAAATTTTTTTTTCAGGTCAAGTTTGATTAGGTAAAAATTATCTGAGCTAAGTATAGCGGCTCACACTTGTAATCCCAGCATTTGGGAGGCAAAGGCAGGATAGCCATGAGTTTAAGGCCATCCTGGGTTACATAATGAGTTCCAGGTCAGTCTGGATGACAGTATAAAACCCCCAGTGTCAAACAGAGGCCTGTGAGATGGCTCAGTGAGTAAAGAGCTTGCAACCAAGCCTGATGATCTGAGTTCCAGACTGGGGACCCTCATGATAGGCAGAACCAATTGCCAGAAGTTGTATTCTGAATACATGCACACCGTTGACAGGCAAGCAGGCACAGATAAGCACATGCACACACACACACACACACACACACACACACACACACACAAAACGTAATTCCAAAAAGCCAAGAAACAAAAAATTGTTTTAAGTATTAAAAACTGACATTCAATTATCTGAGACCATATACAAAGCATAACTGTCCTAAAAAACTCAAAATTACTTCATACAACAAAATCAGTTTTATAATTTTCAAAAGTAAGTTATTTGTAGGTCAGTCCTTTTCCTATAATTAAGAGGACTCAAAACGATAACAATCATAATTTTTCACCTCTGCTTCAACAATGAAAGCAATTAAAAACTGACATTCAATTATCTGAGACCATATACAAAGCATAACTGTCCTAAAAAACTCAAAATTACTTCATACAACAAAATCAGTTTTATAATTTTCAAAAGTAAGTTATTTGTAGGTCAGTCCTTTTCCTATAATTAAGAGGACTCAAAACGATAACAATCATAATTTTTCACCTCTGCTTCAACAATGAAAGCAAGTTACTGTATATATTTTTCCATAAAAAAATTAAATTTCATAAGGTGAGACTTTCAAATATGGAAAAATATTCAAAATGATCTTTAAATGTTCAAAATGTATACGCTAGAGATTGCCTAAAATCAACTCACACTGATTATGCATAAAAGTACTTCCTAAGCTGGAGAGATGGCTGTCAACAGGTAAGAGCACTGGCTGCTCTTACAGAGGGCCCAGGTTTGGTTCTCAACACCCACGTGGTACCTAACAACCATCCGTAACTCCAGTTCAAGGAATCCAAAGCCCTTTTCTGACCTCAGTGGGCACTGCACGAGATAGGTGCACTTACTTACATGCAGGCAATACACATAAAATAAAAATGATAAATTTTTTTTTTTTTAAAGTACTTGCCTGATCTACATAGTGAGTTCCAGGACAGCTGAGGCTACAGGGAGATCCTGTCTCAAAAAGACCAGAAAAAAAAAAAAAAAAAAAAAGGTACTTGCTGATTATCAATACACTAACTGTAAAGATACAGGTGATTATTACCTTCTTCAAGTTCCATCTCTTCTTCTTGATCCTCTTCATCTTGTTTAATGTCAGTAACTATTCGAAAGGTATACTTATTAAAGCTGTGATAATACACTTAAGTGGTAAGACAAAAACAAAAGGAAAGCAGCAGCACACTGATTACCCCAAGACTCAGGACAGGTGCTGACTTTAGAGCCAGAGGAGCACAGCAAAGTTTCTGGATGCTGCCAGTATTTGGTGTTTGTCTAGATGGTAGTTTCACGACTCTATACTTTGTGATTTTTGCCATGAACTACCCTAATGCTATGTCTTTGATTTCTGCATTTTTCTGTTTTATTTCACACAGTCACATTTTCTTTCCTTCTCTTCCTCTGGCTCTCCTTCAGCCCCATAGGAAAATCACCCAAACCTTGTAGCTCTAGTTATTGTCACAATACAACACGTGATATAACCATATATGCTTCCGACCCAAACACCAAGGTCGCTGTACAACTAATGGCAGCTACCCCTATTCTGTAGCTATGACTAAAAGCCAAAATAAAATTTAATTCTGAATGAAAAAAAACAAGTATTCTACTAGTGAAAACTAAGTTAGTTAATATTTCGGCCATTAGACTCACCTGGCTTCTCCCTAGTCTGTGGGATTATACCACTTTTATCCTTGATAGGAAGCAAATGAATCAGCTCCTTCTCAGGTGCAGTTTGCAGAGTCCTTGGTATTTTTTCGTATTTATCTATCACACTCTTGTGCTTTCGTTTCTTGGCATGAACTGGCTCACTGCAGAAAAGAATTTAATCTTCAGTTTTAAAGGTTACCTAAAGGCCTATCATTTAAAAGTACTGTTATAGACCAAGTATGGTAGTACCTGCCTATAATCCCAGCACTCTGGTGGCAGAGAAGGAAGGATTATCATTTACAGGTCATCTTGAGCTACATAGTGAGAATACTTCCTAGATACTGAGTTTGATCCTCAGAAGTATGGGGGCTGAGGGAAATATAGAGTACAAAGTACCACTGACACTTCCCCTCCCTACAACAGTAGAAAATCTAGTTAGGCGCTTTCTTTTGGAGACAGTGAACTCTGTAATCCAGGATGGCCTAGAAATTACTATGTCAATGACATTGTGCAAGGACTCTGTGTGTTCAATTTTGATACACTTTAATGCTTTATAATAGAGTGTGTATGTGTTGGTATAGCTCACAAATATTTTATACACTCGTTGGTATACTTTTAACTTTTTTCAGTTTCATAGACTATTCATTCTGTACTTCCAAACTACCACAAATATTTTTTTAAACATCTATGCTTAAATGGACCCATATTACACAAAGTCATGGAAAAATAAACCACCTACTGAGCTTTGTTCAGTGACACTATTGTAATCAATGTGGTTTATCCCAAGTGCAAGTACTGCTAATTAAAACTACCTATTGATATGCAACTATCAACGGGTGTATAGATATGGGCACTTAGATCAGAACCTAGTACATGGCAGCAACTGAATAATTAAACTATAAATCTACAACAAAGACTCAAACTACAACTAATAGCCAATTTTTCCTTTAGATGCACAATAAAGGTGAAATTCATGATTTCTTCTGGAGTGTCAAGAGAAGACACTACACTTTTACTTTCCCAAAATCTTTCAGAGCGTAGCATGAACTTTGGAATTAAAAGAGAACTAAGTTTAAGCCAGTTGTGATGGCACATGCCTTTAATCCCAGCACTCAGGAGGCAGAGGCAGGTGGATCTCTGTGAGTCGGAGGCCAGCCTGGTCTACATAGAGTTTCAGGCCAGCTGGTGCTACAGGGAGACCCTGTCTCAAAAAAGAGCCCCCCCCCCAAAAAAAGAACTAAGTTTGAAGTCCAGACCCACTTCTTATGACTGTGGAATCTCCTCTCTGGAAATGCAAATAATACCTACCTAACAAGGTACTGAGGACTAGGTGAGATTAAAATTTTTAAAAAAGGGGCTGGAGAGAAGGCTCAGCACTTAAGAGCACTGACTGGTCTTGCAGAGGACCTGGGTTCAATTCCCAGCACCCACATGGTGGCTACAAACCGTCCTTGACTCCAGTTCCAGGGGAATCCGAAGCCCTCTTCTGATCTCTGCGGCATTGCACAACATGGGTACACTCACATACAATGCAGGCAATATACTCATACACATAAAATAAGAATAATAAAAACAATATGGGCTGGAGAGATGGCTCAGTGGTTAAGGGCACTGGCTGCTCTTGCAGAGACCCTGGATTGATTCCCAGCACCCACAAGGCTAAGAACCTTCTGTAACTCCAGTTCCTGGGGATCCAATGCCCTCTTTTGACCTCTGCAGACATTGCACTACATGGTGCATGTACATACATGGAGGCAATACAATCATACAAATCATACACATAAAATAAAAATAAAATAAAATATTAAAAAAATAAAATAAACCACAAAAAAACTCAGGACCATTCTGCCAATGTCTCAAACAAAACAGCACTCTTCCATAATTCACTAAAATTCACTATTCAGAATCAAAAGAAAGGAAAATGTACATTAAATAAAATCAATCACTAATTTCACTTAGAAAATAAACATGGGCTAGGGATGTGGCTTACTTGGTAGACTGCTTGCCTAGCATGCACAAAGCCCTGGATTCAAAATTCCAGCACCAAAGAAAACTAGATGTGATGGTGCACGCCTGTAATTCAAGTAATTGGGAAGGTAAAGGAAGGAGAATCAGTTCAAGTCCATCCTCAACTACACAGTGGTTTAAAGACAGGCTGAGCTACAAGAGACCCTGTCCCAAAAACAAAACAAACAGAAAGAAAAGAAATTTAACATCAGCTTACTCTTTACAAACACTATGCCCAGGGGTGAACATCTTAAACTTTCTAAACCCCGTACACAGAGGAAAACATCTTGAACTATCTACGTAAAATTCAGAATATTTGTAATATTGTACAGATACGAACAGCTATATTCCAGATAAGTATTACCTAGAAGAAAGATCTCTTGTGAGAAAAGATGCTCTTTGTCCTAAATCTTTCATTAACTGTAAGTCATCCTCATCCATCATATCTAAAGGAAGGGCTTCTTCTTCCTCCTCTTCTTCCCTCTCGATCCTTTTAACTGTTCCACAAAAAAAAAAAAATCAAAGCATTAGAATTCTGCATTTTTTCTAGTATCTCACCTGCCCGCCCCATCCAGTACTCCCAATGAAAGTACTATTTAGGGCTGACAGCTCTCTGCTAGACTAAGATGCTGAATCAGGCAAATGTGTTTCTGATTCCTGAAATCTAAAGGTCAAAAGCATTCCCAGGGCACTCTAACAACTGAAAAATAAATGTTTCCACAGATTCTGAACAGTGTTTCAGGGCATTTCTTGGCTGCTTCTCATTTCCGCCATCCTTTCTAAGGGCCAGGCCCAAGCCCTGATGATCACCCCTTTGACCACAACCTTTTGTGCTTTCAGCATCATCGGGTTCCTTCCAATATACTTTACTAATAAGGCATTCATATCTACCAAACTGCAACCTCACCCAGATCATTCTAACTTCTCTGCTCACTTTCTGTGTTCTTTGTTCTATCCATCTTTCTTTTACTTAAAAAAAAAAAAATGACTCAGTGCCAGAAACCTTCATAAGTGCAGAGGATTCTACTGTAAATAAGACTTCTTAGTGTTTTCCTTAACAAAACAATCTTCCTGGTAGAAGACAGACTAGTAAACACTACTACAAGCAAACTGCACAGAATGAATCTACTTCAAATGAACATTTCATTTTCAAACATACCAGCAATTGGTATATTTCACTGGTCAGCCTTTTCTCTTCCATACAGTACGTTTTATCTATCATTACACATCTAACCCCTCACCTACCTCACTTCCAAGGATCTAGCCTCCTGCTTTAGTGAGAAAAGGGAGGCCATAAGGAATCAACAGCAGATTCAACGTTTGCATCCAACCTTTCCTTATACTCATACCTGTCTAATGACCACTTAGATTATAAACTATAATAAAGAACTCTTTTGCTTTTACTTTCATTCTATTTAACTACTGACATTATGCTTTTGAAATAGTAAAATTTAAAAGAGTTCTCTAAAAGTACCTAATTCATCCAACTCATTTTTCATAAATAAATGCACTTGTGGAGACTTCATGCAAGTCCACATGGCTAGCAGCAAAAATCAAGAGAAAAGCCCTTGCTTCCTGACTTCCATCAAATGGCCATTTTTTCATCACAATGTTGCTAAGGGGTCAAATTATGTCAGGGTTTAAGAGAACAAGATGGGAAGGCTGGAGCATTGGCTCAGTGGTTAAGAGCACTGATTGCTCTTGCAGATGACCAGGGTTTGATTCCCAGCACCCACATGGCAGCTAACAACCATCCTAACTCCAGTTCCAAGGGATCTGACACCCTCTTCTGACCTCCGTGGGCATTGCATGACATGGGTGCACTTACACACATGCAGGCAATACATTCATAGACATAAAATAGAAATATTTTTTAAAAAGAAATAATGAGATGGATATGTGAAAAATGAGTACTTACTTAATGATCAGATGTAGTCAAATATGAGCACCCTAAAAGTATCAGCTATAGAACTGTAGACTCAAAATAGTCATAATATTTTCCTATTTTAAGTAGCTAGGGTTCTTGGATAGTTTTACAAAATAACACAGAGAATTACAACTGAATTTCACTCCAAGTTTACAAGATAAAAGAAAATCAGAAGTTTAGAAAAGGAAGTGCCTGTTGGCAACATTGTAAAGAATGCACCATCAGGGGCTGGAAAGATGGCTCAGCAGTTCAGAGCACTAGGTGCTCTTGAACAGGTCCCAGGTTCGGGTTCCCAGCATCCACATGGAGGCTAACAATTGTCTGTAACAGCAGTTCCAGGGGATCCGACACCTTCTTCTGGCTTCAGTGGACACTGCATGACATGGGTACACTTACATGCTGACAAAACACTCATACACATAAAATAAAAGTAAATAAAATCTTTTGTTAGATGGACCATCAGCCAGGTGTGGTACTGCCCATCTTTAATCCTAGCACATGTGAAGCTGAGGCACATGTATCTCTGTGAGATGAGGCCAGTCTGGTCTATATAGCAAGTCACAGGTCAGCTGGGCCTATAAGGAGACCCTGTCTCCAAAAAACAAAAAGCAAACAAACAAACAAACAAAAAAAAAATGCACCATCAAAAATTCTTACCTCAGTTGTCAGTAAATGGGCAGGTGGCAGACCAAAATTTATTTACATGGCTACTCTGAGCATCCCCCCAAGTACTGCATTTTCAGATCTGTTCTCTAGACAAATTAAAAGCAGAGGCTAGCTTTATCACAGTGCATACTGTCTGGAAATGTTTTCTCATACTGACTACAATAAAGCACAGAGGAATCCTATCCTTACCTAAGTCTATAAAGATCTAACACAGAAAGAGAGGTTTCTAGAAAGCAAGTCTTTTCTATGAAGAATATTTCAGGGCAAATAATGGGAACTAGGCATCATGAATACTTTCATACCTGATCGTTTGTGCTTTGGGTCCTCCAATGGAATGGGTTTCTTAGACACAGCATCTTTTACAGCTTGCCTTAGTTTCCTCTGTTCTTTTCGGTATTTCTTGATAGTGCTTTGTTGTTTAAATTGCTTATTTTTTAGTTTGTTTTCAAGTTTGACTTTACTAGTTTTTATCAACTTGCGAAAGCTTGGGACCTGCTTTTTATTTCTTCTCTAGAAAACAACAGAAGGAATATTACAACTGAGAATTATTAATTATTCTTTAAAAGTCAAGTTAAAGAGAATTGTTTATAAATTTCATTAGACCAATTTCACAATTTTAATGTCTCACAACCGTGGATCTCACATTAAAAATAAAACCAAAGCCTGGAGTGGTGGTGCACGCCTTTATCCTGGCACTTGAGAAGGAGAGGCAGGTGGATCTCTATGAGATCAAGGCCAGCCTGGTCTACATAGCAGAGTTCCAGGCCAGCTGGGGCTACAGAGAGACCTGTCTCAAAAAAATATAAATTAATTAGTTAATTAATTAAATGCAAAATATGGTAGTAGCACCAGGCACCAGTTATTCATAGATTTTGCCATGATCTGAATCAGGTCTCTCAAAAGTATCTAAGATCTATAAAGAAAAATGTTAAGAATCAGGCTGGAGAGACAGCACAGCGGTAAAGAACACTAACTGTTCTTGCAGAAGACCCAGGTTCAAATCCCTGGCTGACCATCATGACAGCTAACAACAGTAACTCCAGTTCCAGGGGATCCGACAGCCTCTTCTGTCCTCCACAGGCACTGCACCATATAGGTGCATGACAGCTAACAACAGTAACTCCAGTTCCAGGGGATCCGACAGCCTCTTCAGTCCTCCACAGGCATTGCACCATATAGGTGCACTTACTTACATTCAGGCATAACAGTCATACACATAAAATAAAAATAATAGGGGTTGGGGATTTAGCTTGGTGGTAGGGTGCTTGCCTAGCAAGCACAAGGCAAGACCCTGGGTTCAGTCCTCAGCTCCGAAAATAAATAAATAAATTAATTAATTAATTAATTTTTTTTTAAATGTTAGAATCACTGATCTTGTGGCAAATGGTTATTCAAGGCTAGTCTCTTGTGGTTTAACATTCAGGGCAAAATAATGGCTGTCTTTAATAACTGGTATTTACAGTGTTTTGTCATTTACCAAATGCTGAGACATAGTGCCTCCAACACCTAAAGATTATTGCTGTTATCACATTATTGATGAAGTGAAGGCTCATGGATTATGCAACTTGTCGAAGACCGTCCTACCCAAAGAAGAACAAAACTGAATTCTCTTGGAGTTCAAGGACTCTCTTGCTGGTGACGGCTTCACTCGGAAATCCAAATTCCAGTACTAGTTCTAAATTTCCCATTTCCCACTAGCCTTCCTAGCTCCTTAAACTTGAAGGAGGAAGCTGACTCGCCCCAGGTCAGGAGACAACATGCTCTATTAAGGCTGGACCTTGTTTCTCATGTGTAGAAAAATAGATTGGAAGACGGTCTGGGAAAACCCATCACAGGTGGACCATCTCTAGGATGCAAAACTCGGTTCTTGTCTCCGACCCCCCTGGCGCGGGCACAGTAGGGGACGAAGGAAAAAACACCAGTAAGTACCGGATGTTGAGACAATGCATAGAGCCACCAGGGAGCCCCGACATGAGCACGTCGGTGACCTGTCATTCCGAGTAGCCCAGAAGCCGCGGACCAGGTTCCCGAGGGCACTTACCGCCTTCATCCTTGGGCTGTGAGGACTTCTTCAGACAAGTTCGCCAGGGAAAGGAAGACTCTAGGAGCCCCGAAAGTAACACGTGCCAAGGGCGACTTTTCCTGAACCGGAAGCTGCTCCCAGCCCCGCCAGACTCTGCCGCCGGAAACGGAGGCGGGCCTTCCTGATAGCGGCTGGCGCGCGCCCTCTGGCGGTGGCGGTCTCGCACTCACCCGGCGACCGTGGACTAGTGGGCGCTGGGCTGAGCTGTAGGCCTGGGAGTGACCGGCCGTGTTTGTTAAGTCCTGCGGAAATCCGACTCTTCCTCCCTGAACCGCTGGGCTTGGCTTTCGTGCCTCGCCTCACGTAGCTTATCTCTTCCTGCCCTGGTACTGATGATCTAGACTTGTTCCTGCGTAAAGTCGAGAGGGCAGAGAGCAGCTTCTCCTTGCTCGATGCCAATACACTCAGCCGGAGCCCAGGGCTGAAGGAATGAACAAGGATTTTTCATCGCCTTCCAGCAGTCAAAAATCGGTGATTCTTGAGGTTTTATCTTGGAGTCGTTTTTTTCTTCGGTTTTAACCATTACCAAATAAAAAACTAATGAGAGATTCATCGGAATTTCAATATTTTGCACCTATCACCTTTGGATAAATTGCTTAATCTGCCAAAGTCATGAATTTTTGAGGAATATTTAGATATTTCAAGAAGAATGTTTTTCAAGTGCCCGTCTCCCAAAGATTTTTTTCCCAGAAATTAAAAAAAAAAAAAAAATAGCACTGGGCTGGAGAGATGGTTCAGTGGTTAGTAATGCTTTGCTGCTCTTTGAAAGGACCCAAATTGGGTTCCCAACACCCATATCAGGTGGCTCACAACCACCTGTAGCTCCAGCACCAAGAGACCTGATACCATCTTCTGGCCTCTTCAGGCACCCACACACATGTGCCATACACACACAAACATACAGATACACATAAATCGAAATAAAATATTAAAAAAAAAAACCCACTACACTTCAGGCTATTAAGGGGGGGAGGGGTTGTGGTTGTGGTTGTGATGGTTGGAGATAGTCTTACTGGGTAGCCCAGACTGGCCCTCAACTCAGTATGCTTCCGTCTGAGTCTCCAGAGTACTGGTTACAGGCGTGAGGCACCGTGCCCAGCTCCAGCATATCATTCTTGAGCACACCCTGACACAGTTGGCCTCACAGTCCTGAGCTGCTGAGATAAGTGATTAGACTCAAAGGATTCTGAGGTCATAGCAAGACTGAGAAGAAACTTGCTCGTTTATGGATTTTGCCACAGACACAAGAAACCCCTTCTATCTGGCACCTCTTTTCCCACCTCCCTCTAGCTTTCCCCTTGTTCACTTTCCTTCCTGTCTCAGAAACAGCAGAGCCTGTCCCTTTGTTACATGACCTCATCTCATAAATTGAAAACATCAGCCTGTGCTCTTCCCGAAAGCCTGAATTCCTTCTCAAACATATCAACAGTTACTCCTGCTTTCTCAGCTTGCCTTATAGTCTTTCCAAGGATAAGGCATCCTCATCCCTGTTCAGAGACAACTCCCAATCTCTTTTTTAAAAAAATTATTTTAGGTGTATAAATGTATTGCCTGCATGTGTGTAAGTGCATCTGTGTCATGCAGTGCCCTCCAAGGTGAGAAGAGGGCATTGAACTGGAGTTACAGACGGTTCTTAGCTGCCATATGGGTGCTGGGAATCGAACCCAGGTCCTCTGCAAGAGCAGCTCGTGCTGTTAACTGCTGAGTCATCTTTCCAGTCCAACTCCCAATTTCTTGTCTCAACTTTTGTATCAACTATCCCTTCTCATAATCTTTCCCTCACTCTTTCCTTAATAGTTTCTCCCCCATTAGCCTATTAATATATTCAGTTCTCTTCAATCTTTTCATTTATTTCTAATAACCTTTTCTTCTTTTAATTATTTTGTAGTCCACCTTCCAGAAAGATCATTATCCTGGTGTATCTACTTCTCTATTGTAATCCAAGTTTGTGCTAGCTTTTTAAGGAAATACATTTTACTCTTGACCCATTTCTTATTTAAGTTTATAACCAACTAAAATCTCTCAGTCATTTTAGAGCATGCATTGCCAAGCTATATCTCTCCCATCTTGAATATAAGCAGCTTGTTTGGAAGCAAATTTTAAAATAGAAGTTTACGTGATTCCTGCTAATTTAATCTCATTGGTTTCTTAATTCTGTCCTCCCCAGCCTGTGTCACCCACTCAGTTAATCCACTGCTAAGCCTTGCTTGTGCTCTATATCCTCCTGGCTCCCTCAGAGCTTTTCTTTCAGGACAGTTAGAGATCAATGGCTATCCTAAACAGCCTTGCAGGAAATATACTCAGAGATTCCTGTGAGACCTTTGGGGACGTGTTAAAAGCCCATCTGGCTATGCCTGTGACATTCCACCAAAGTGCTGGAATTAAAGGCACACTCAGAACAAAACATTTTTAAGAGTTACTTCTTTGTTTATGTGTGCATGTGTGTGTTTGTGTGTCTGTGTGCATGCATGCACACATGTGCTGCATGTGTGGGAGTGCCCATGGAGACCAGAAGAGGGAGTCAAATCCCCTGGAACTGTTATGAGCTACCAGATATGGGTGCTAGGAATCTAACTCTGGCCCATTGGAAGAGCAGCAAGTGCTGTTAACCACTGAGCCATCTCTGTAGCCCCATGTCTCAAAATTTTAAGAAGTAAAAAGAAAGCTGGGGAAATAGCTTAGTGGTACAACACTTGCCTAGTACATGAAAGACTCTAGGTTTAATTCTCAGCCATCAAACACACACACACACACACACACACACACACACACACAATGGAGCATTGTGAAGAATGAAATCATGCCATTTACAGTAAAATGGATCATCGTATTAAAATAAACCATACTCAGAGAAATACCAATATTCTGGCCGGAGAGATGGCATAGTGGTTAAGAGTACTTCCTCCTCTTCCAGAGGACCCAGGTTCAGTTTGTGGCACATATTCAGTCATCTGTAACTCCAGTTCCAGGAATGTGACACCTTCTTCTGTTCTCCATAAGCACTGCCAGCATGTGGTACAGTTACATACATGCAAGCAAAACACTCATACACATAAAATAAAACCCTTCTTTGGGACTGGAGAAATGACTCACCAGTTAAGAGCACTAGCTGCTCTTCCATAGGACCCAGGTTCAATTCCCATCCTTGACATGGTGGCTAACACTAATCCTTACTCTAGTTCCAGGGGATCGAATGCCCTCTTCTGGTTTCCTTGGGCACTTGCACACATGTGGTACACTAACAAACATACAGGCAAAACACTCAGACACATAAAAATACATCTTTTAAAAAAGAAATACCCACATTCTCACATATTTGAAATCTAGATTGCCTTTTAAAGGCATGAAAATGGAATTGAGACTAATTGGGGAAGGCAGAGCACGTAGGGAAATGAGAGGGTGGACGAGGTAAATATGACTGAAGTGTGTTGTATTCAAATCTGAAAATGTCATCATAAAACCCATTATTCTGTACAAATGGTATACCCTAACAAAAAGAAAAAAGTTTCGACAGCCACTGAGGGGTAAGAAACATGAAGCCAAATCTCTCCTCGCTGACATCCATTTCAGATTTCTGGCCTTCAAAACTATGAGAGAATACATTGCTGCTGCTTTAGGCCACCAAGTTTATGGGGATTTGTTATTGCAGTCAAGGAAGACTAGTACACTAATAGTTATGCAATATCCTCCTCAGAGGCAGGATTACTTGGATGACTCTTAATCTCTCAAAGGCTTACTGATGGATGGAGCGCCAGCTACGAAGACAGCGGGTTCAGCACCACTCTGTTGGGTTCTTTTCTTCCTAGTCTCCCTCCCTCCCTGTACCCAGTGGTCCCTAGACTTAACCTCAAAAGCAAACAATTTGCACTCAAATCCTTTATTTTATATTTACCAATTTACCATAACCAAATGTCAAAAATGTATTTAACCAAATGTCAGAAATGTATTCTCTTGTGGTTATAAAGACTAGGAGTCTAAAATCAAGGTGTTGGCACAGGCGGTTCCTTTTGGGGGACCTCTATCCTCATTTCTGGTGACAGTTGGCATCCTTGGCATCCTTTGGCTCATGGATGCTCTTGTCTTTGCCTCCATCTTTACATAGCATTCTCCTTTCGAGTCTTCACATGGCTGCTTCCTCTGTGAGCCCCTCCCTCTTCCTTGATTGTTGAAGAGGGCTGGTCTTTTTGAGACAGGGTCTCCCTATAGCCCCAGTTGGCCTGGAACTCACTATGTAGACCATACTGGCCTGGAACTTACAGAGATCTGCCTTCCTCTGCCTCCCGAGTGCTGGGATCAAAGGTATGCACCACCATGTCCAGCTTAGGTTTTAAATTTTTAAATTCTTTTATGTGTATGAGTGCATGCAGTGCCATTGGATCCCTGGAACCTGAGTTACAGCCAGTTGTTAGCTGTCATGTGGGTGCTGGGAACCAAAAACCCAGGTCTTCTACAAGAGCAGCCAGTGCTCTTAACTGCTCAGCCCCATCTCTCTAGCTTCTTGTTTAAACATTTTTAATGTTTACAAACTGTGTTGGTTCTTTTCTCTTATTCTTAATAATCTTATGAGATAAATACTAGCTCCTGTTTTTTTGTTGTTGTTGTTTTTTTTGTTTTTTGTTTTTTTTTTTTTGGCTATGTAGCTCTAATTGGCCTTATATTCAGAATGATTCTTCTTGCTCCACCTCCCAAGTCCTGGGATTACAGGTGGGAGTCACTATACCAGACTAATTAATTTTTATTTAACAATCAGAGGAAGCTGGGTGTGATGCTGCACACCTTTAGTCCCAGTACTCCAGAGGCAGAGGCAGGCGGATCTCTGTGAGTTCAAGGCCAGCCAGCCTGGTCTACAGATCGAGTTCCAGGTCAGCTGGAGCTACAGGGAGACCCTGTCTCATATAAAAAAAAAAAAAAAAAAAAAAAAAAGAATCAAGAATCAGAAGACAAGACATCAGAGTGTTTAGGTTTTTAAGCAAAAAGAAATCAAATATCTAAAGCTTCTTTGGCAATCTGCAATATAATATATGAGGGAAAAGTTTCCTAGAGTTGTGATATGATCTTTTTCACTTAAGATTTTGGCTGATAAACTAAATCATG